TTACCGTAAGTTACCATGGTAGGATACCAAATACTCATTTGAAAGTCCGTACATTATCAGAAAATTTCGTAATAGTAGGCAATTAACGGACATGAAGAACGGATAAAGCATAGATTACTTTCGCGGTAACTTACCATTTTGGTATCTTACAATAAATTACCGTAATTTTACAACCCTGCTACCAGCATATTAGCCTGGTTATAATTAGTTAGAACGAACAAATATTAAGTTTTAGCAGTTTCGAGATTTCGGATAGGGTTTCGGAGGATGAGGTTTCGAGATTTCGGATGGGGTTTCAGAAACCAAAAAGGTTTTCGGTGCTAGTATACACAATTTCTTAATTTAGTACTGTACAACATTATGTTAAACTTTCGGTTAAATTAATTTAAATATAAACTTATATATATAGTTAAATTTTAAATTGACTACATGCTATGTATACTGTAATATATATCATATATCAGATTTTCACGAGCTGAATTTGATAAATAATTATTTAACCACATGCCAAAAATGTGAGTAAACCCTGTACCTAGGGTTATGGTATATTTCAACAAATTTATAAATCTTCTAACAGAAAATCCGAACAGTGACAAAAACCAGGGTTTCTGCTAATGGTTTGGAGATGTCGTTATTTTATAACAAGATAATCAGAACTTTGGAGTTGATCCAAACTTTCTGGATCTTACCATCCATATATGTAAATAAATTTTTTGCGCCCCATAATTACGAATTAAAGTTAATGAAATTACATAACGATAAACGTGAAAATCAGTTGAAACCGTATCACCATAAATTACTATAAATTGAGGGGCTTCATTCTCCGACCCACAGCAAACTCATAACTCGAAACAATAAAAACTGTTGTAAAAAAAATGCCTGGAGCCTTTTACTATTCATTAGCCGCAATAACTTTCTTTGGTAGCACCATATGCAGCTGGTTTGCCTTATTCACACCGAAATGGTCAGCTTCTTTTTTTCTTATAATTATATATGTTGTATCTCTATCTTTCAGTTATCTACCTTTTACTCAGGCAGATTTAATCGGCTAGGTGATTACTACCTAAATTATAATCGAATGTCTGCATTGGAAAAATGATATACTGAATTAAAACTAGATAATGAGATAATGAGATGTGAGCTACAACATGGATAAAAACATTTTTGATTAAATTTTTTTTTTTTACACCGTATCAAATAAAGGTTACTCTTTGAAAGCCCAAGGCCATACCGAACATTTACAAATTATGGTCTATTTATTGTAAGCAAAATTATAAAAAGTTACACATTATCCTACCATAAATTAGTGATGGCAAGAGAAAACCTGTAAATTAATGAATTTTCACTTATCGGATTCAGTAATAAAAAAAACCGACTCTATATTGGTGATCGAAAACGTATATAACTAGTCGTTTCTAGTCGTTTTTGGTATACTAACAGACCGGTGAAATTGGTTTTAAAAAAAATCATGTAATGGGAGACCAATCTTGTGAGATCAACCTTCCTAAGGATCAAATACAATAAGTTAAATTCATAAACCGATTTACAAGCTTTCTTTTACCATCACTCAAATGAAGGAATGATAGAGCATGTTGAAATATATTACGAGGTGTGAATAAGATATTCGATCATATCAACGCCAATGGACAATTTATAATGTGTTTCGTTTATGATAGGATAGTGTACATTTAAATTAATGTTTTAAATATTTTAGCATATTTATAATTTTTCTTATCCTAAATTACAGAAATGTTCGAGTCTTAACGTTGATGGTTGTCGACCTTTTCCATCTGATGATTATGATGATTGTACTGAAGAAGGATTTTGTGAAGAGTGGAGTGCCGCTAAAACGGACATGATATTTGCATGTATCGTTGGTGTTGTAACATTTTTTTATTTACTCTATGTATTATTAATTGGTGGTAGAAATCTCAAACAAACCGGATGGAAATATATTTCTGGTGCTATTTTTATTACATGTTAGTATCTTTTTAAATTTATATACAATAATTTTTTGTCTCGAGTGATACCTTATCAACTAAACAAATATTTTACAATTTTTGATGTACTTTAGCTTTACTTCAAATTTCAGCAATTTCTTTAATCGCACATCTTTACAACACATCAGATAGATTTTATTATGGTGTCAAGTTTGATATTTGTTTCATGCTCGCATGCAGTTCTGCCGGTCTTAATTTTGTTCTTGCTTGCGTATTATTTTTTGTTGGATGGAAGGAGTCAACGAGTAATACTGAGTACAGTCAACTCTTGTAATAGTCACACCCGCATTTGTCACAATCTCCTATATATATATATATATATATATTTGCTTGTATTAGTCGCAATTTCGCAATAGGCACATAAAGTGGCTGATTTTGAATGTGACTATTGCGGAAGTTGACTGTACATGAGCTTTTAGAATTATTATCAATTATACATTTTTTATAGATCATCCGTTATCAATTCATTTAACTCATACGTTAAAGTGTACAGTTATTTATAGTTATACGAACATTATTTAACAATTATTAGCATAGTTATTTAAATAAATTTTACAACAAAAAAAAAACATTGGTTGGATATAAGAACGTATAAATGCATTTTCTAACCTTTAAAAAAAAAATTCCCATATGAACTTAATATCTAATTCTTGAATATTATTCTTCAGCCAATTGCCATATCCTAATAACTCCATCATCACCAGCTGTAGCTAGCCAATTAAAGTGCTTTTCAGTAGGATACCATTGCACACAATTGATATCCGCAGCCCCGTGAGCTGATGTAACTGACGCAATCATTGAAAAATTAGTAGTGTCTGTTGTACTACCAGAAACTGTGCTTTCTTCCTGCTCGAATACCCTGATCGTATTGTCTCCACCACAACTAGCAATACGACCATGAACCTTTGACCAACTCACGGAATAAATACATCGTTGATGATATCCACTCATGGTACATATGCATTTCCATTTTGGCTCATTTCGATCAGTAATTATTCCCTCTCGATTATCTGGATGATAACAACGCCAAAATTTAAGTGTTTTATCGTCTGATGCGGATACTATTTATTGTATAGATACAAATATATTAATATATTTAACATAATTAAATAAATAATTATATAGCTCACCTAAATATTCACCGGTTTTATCAAAGTCAATTGACCATATTGTGCTTTCATGTCCCTCTAATGTGTTAGAGCAGTACCAATCGTCTTCATCTTCTTTCCAAATTTTAATTGCGTCATCGTAACTAGCGGATGCTAATATCTTTAATTTCCGAATAAAGTATCCAAAAATAAAATGAATTGTGTACTAAATTTGATTTAATTAAAATCTAAAAATATTTACTTCTTTGGTCGGATGCCACGTAACCATCTTTACATCTTGCGTATGCTCTTGAAGAACACTCAAACATTCAAAGTCATTATCAGTTCCCACTAAATAAATTAGTATAGCCCGTCAATTATTGAGATATAAAATTTTATAAATCTAATACTTTTTTATAAATAAAAATATTGTTACAAACTGATGCTGATATTGGCTAATGTTGAGATTTTTTGAACCTATTTTAATGAAAATTAAAATTTTTTTAGGTAACTTTTTTTTTAATGTTACGTTAAATTTAATATTAGAGTTGTTAACAAAAAATTTTAATTTAAATTTAAATAAGGGGGCATCCATTAAACCAGTACTGCATTGTATGAATCTTCCAATCACTATGCCAAGATCATGGGATTAATGCTAACGGATCAGGATATATTATTATTACAATGCCATATGGTATTATTTTTGTATTATCTTTTAAGATCCCTATACATTACTGGTTTAACGTAAATTATGGATGCCCCAAATATCAACATCAGCCGATTACAGCATAAGCTGCCACAAAAAGTTTGTTCTGTTTTTGTCGAAAAATGTTTCATCATCAGTATAATTATAAAGAAATGTATAATTAAAAAAAATGTACGTCTCACATCTTGTTTTTATATTGATGATGAGCCCATTCTGAATATTTTAACATCAACAAAAACAAAATAAAAACATAATAAAATTTTAAAGGGATATTATTACCCTCCCATATCCATACGCTCTTATCACGACCACATGTAGCAAGTAATGTTCCGGACCTTGCCCACGAAACAGATTTGGCCTCATTTTCATGACCTTCTAAAGTGGCAACGCATTCATAATCTGGAAAACAATAATATAAACGATTATGATCTTGATAAATTCTAATTTAAATAAATTTGAAATCAATTAAGGTTTTAGTTGTTGTTAATACCCCCTCCTTCTTTCTCCTGTTCCCAAATACCAATCAAAGAATCGAAACTTGCAGTGGCAAGCTGACGCCCGTCTGGACTCCAAGCAATATTACGTATTGTCCTTTTGTGTGTTCCTTCTAAAACATTGGTACATATCCACTCAGTGTCAGAGTTGGAAACCCATAACCGAACTGTCTTATCACCCCCACAAGAGGCAAGAACATTTCCGGTGGGAGACCAAGCAACAGACCATACCCTATCTGTGTGTCCTAAATAATAATATAACGAATGAAAACAGTTCTACTCTTGGCAGGTAGGATAAAAAAGGATCATACCTTTCAACTCGGCAATTTGATATAAACGTGTAGTCATATTACTTTGCACATATCTATTATCGATATTAATATCGATATGCGATCTAGAACGACATTAAAGATTATTTAGTCATGTGTTTACTAGTGTTCATGTAATTGGCTGAAGTAAATCAATTGCGGCTACTTCAATAGAACCACTGTATTACAATTAGTTATAACTTGCCATGTATTAAAGTTTTTTTTTTTATTAAGGAAAACCGAACTTCAGGCTTTCAATTATTATTTACCTAATCATCACATACTATAGCTTATATTTATCGTGTGCTTTTTTCGAAAGCTTATTCGTACGGGTATATATGAAAATCACATGATTTTCATATATACCCGTACGAATGTAT